GGCAGCTCGATATAAAGCAGTCCGCCGAATGACGATGCGACTTCGGTCGTCCGCTTCTTCAAGTCGTAAACGCGGTCGATCTTGGGAAAACGGTTCAAGCGTTTGTGCCGCGGAATGTCGATGGTCGTACTGTTGGCTCCGATCCGCAATTTCCAGCCGGCGTCGACGTACTCTTCCGGAATCATCACGTGAATCACTTCCCCGGCCGGGGCATACAAGCCGGTGCTTTGCCAACGAAACGCATTGGCATCGATCTCGACGACTTGAGCTTCCGGCTTGATCGCGCGGTGGATGCTGCCGGGGAACTTGTCGGCCGATGGATGTTTCTTTAACTGATCAGGCGGCAACACGCTGCCGGCCAGTTCCGCTTCAACCACCATCCGTAGCGCAATCAACGGATGGTCGAGGACTTGAAAACGGTTTCCCTTTTCAGGACCGATTTCAACGGCGGGGACATCCTTCAACTTGCCGATCAGCTCTTGCATGGCCCCGGTCGAGCGAAACCCGGTTCGGGCCTCTTTGGCGACCGCTTTTTTAACGGAGATGAACTCTTCTTCACTAAGCTTCTCTCCGCTGGCCGCCTTCTTAAGTTCAGCATCGGTGGCAGCCATGGCCGGGGCCGCGACAAACGCGATAACCAACCAACTGACGAGAAAAAGATTCTTAATATTCAAACTAAATGTCCTACTTTCCCGGGATATCATTCCGTGTAAGAAAAAGCGCGACTTCGTGATTATGGCTTGGCGTGCCCAATCTGACAAGCAAAACGTCGGCAAGCTGCAGCGAAAGCCAAAACATGTGCCAATTCGTCTTTACTTGCGGCCATGTATCGCTGGAAACTGGAGCTTATCCCCTTCCCTTGCTTGAGGATCTCTTCGATGAAACCGATATCGTGCAGTGTTCTTTTCACGATGCTTGTCGTTCTCGGCGCGATGCCGCTCGCGGTGCAAGGGGAAGAACCTGAGGTGAAAGCGGGAAAGAGGATTGTCGTTAACATCAGTCCTTTTACTTTGTCGGAGCGCCAAGACGATCTGCTGGCTTGGGTTCATTATGGCTCGGTCAAATTCGGCGGATCCGACCCGAGAATTCGGATTCGTGTGTCGAAAGATGGCCTGGCGATCGTTCCCGCAGACTTACGAGAACAAGAGTCTCGACTGCAACTTACGCCGCAAGAGATCGCTCAGCTGAAAAAGGTACTGATCGACGACCTGGACGTCCAATCGATCGTCGCCCCTTGGTTCAACGGCCAGGGGAATCGTTGGGATGGCAGCCAGGACTGTTTTTTAATCCGCGACGGCAAGCAGAAGATCACGCTGACATGCGAGTATGGCTGGCCCTCTTCCCATGCCAATCGAGATGCGACAATCCAGCGTTACTTGAAGCTGATGCAGGTCTATACCGACTTGATCTACCAAGTTCGAGCCGGGGGCAACGAAGCAATCGCCGAGCAGGTTCCGATCGCCAATGCGGCGTTGGCAAAGCATTTCCCAGACGCCAAGCCGTTGACGATCGACGACTTTGCCTATGGCGAACACTTTCAGGATGGCGATCGACGGCTGACGTACGTTCGCGAAACGGAAACCGACGGCAGTTGGGATAAAGTCCGTGTCGAGGTGATTGTCCCGGAAACAGGAAAGGCGCGTCCTGGCGATGTGACGCGCAATGGTAAGCGAATTCGCGCCGAGAAGTAGCCCCTCGTAATTCGACCAAATCATTGCACGCAATCCTCCCCTCGGCTAGGGTATCACGATATCGAGATCCCCTACCCTACTCCACCGAAAGGAGTTTCTCATGCGTGCTTCGTTATGGATGGGCTTGCTTGGCTTAATGATCGTAGCTGGGCCAAGTTTCGCAGAGGAAAACAGCGAGGGGGGAATCCAGGCAATTCAACTTGCCCCGGCCGCAACGTCTCAGCAAACGCTGCAGCAGATTGACGCATGGGAAAAGAAGCTGCAGACGACCAAGGCTCGAATCGACGTTATTGAAGCACCATTGACCGATGCGCTGACGGTTCTGTCGGAACAGACCGAGATTCCGATCCGTATCGACGTGCGAGCTCTGGACGACGTGGGTCTCAGCGGCGATATGCCGATCACGTTTCATTCTCCAGAAATGACGACCGAAACCGCATTAAAGCTGCTGCTACGGGAGGTCGTGCTGACGTTCCGAGTCGATTCGTCCGGTGTCGTCGTCACCACGCAAGAGGAATCCGAAAGAAGCTTGCGACTGAAGTTCTATCCGGTCGACGATCTTGCCGGCAACGATACCGCTGAAGGGTTTGATCAGCTGCGAGACCTGANNTTCGACGATTTCAAAATGGCCTGCTTGTCAATCAGCGGTATGAAATCCATCGCATGCTGGAAGGCCTGCTGACGCAACTGCGAGAAATGAAACAGCAGCCCGGCGAAAAGTACTCGACCGCTTCACGCTCGGTCTTTCCTGACGAGGATCGAGCGGAGAAAGTGGAAGCCCAGTTGAAGTCCACGCAAATCCCGATCGACTTCATCGAGACACCACTCCAGGAAGTCGTCGAGTACCTTTCCCACGTCGGGCACGTACCGATCCATGTCGCTCGCGGTTCGCTCGACGAAATCGGCATGTCGGTCGACCAGCCGATTTCGCTGACGCTGAACAAAGTATCGTTGAAAGAAGCCCTGGATGTCATCACGAAGCAGTACGATCTGTCGTGGTACATCGTAGGCGAGATGATTATTATCACCACGCATGAAGAAGCGGAAAGCGAGCTGGAAATTCGTGTTTATCCTGTCCGAGATATCGTCTGGCATGGACTGAATATCACCGACCCTGAAACACGCACGTTCCTGCAAGAACACACCATGACGCTATGGGAC